CACTGTTAAGAGAATGCTGGAGCGAAGGCTAAACTTAATAAAGATCAATATTACAAGTTTTCATTTCCAATGCATAAGATGCTTACGCCCTCTGAATTAATATGATCATGCAGGAAATTCGATCGATTAATTATTGATATTTTTTTTCTGTTTCCTACATTATCATCTTAGCAAGGGCGAAAACATGTATTAGACTTGGTTCCACAAATGTAAGATTTATTTTATTTTGGAAAATTGTCCAATTTTAGAATTGAGGAAAAAATAAACCGGAATTGAAGTTAATCTTATATTTGTGGAAATCGGGCCTTAGAAATACAATTGTATTATGTGCACATGCAATGTAGGGGCGTTCCAATATATCACCAGTACTAAAAATCTGTAATATACATAAAGTACAGATTTTTAATTAAGTTATATTGATACGAAGCCGTAGTAGCATTTTTTCCTTATGTCCAATGCCATTTTACGTAACAATAATATATTATCAATAAATGAATACGACGTTGCACATACATAATGTAACTCTTTTTTTGCTCTGTCCAATAAAAAGAGATAGACACTTATAGTATTTACATTGTTAACATATCTTATATACCCAATATAGAAAATTGTATGTATATTATACTATATGAACACACACACACACATACATGCACGCATTATATAAACAGATAAAAATTATTCATGTTGAAATAATCATGCAGATATTATCTATTTAAACGCAATATTAGAATTTTATGTACATACATTGTATAATGTGTGTATTCACATCGCATAAACATTTATAATTCTAACATTGTTGTAACATATATATAAAAAAACATTAGTGAATATAAATTATAATTATATTTTATAATGTAGAATGTACCCAAAATATAACTTTAATATTGCATATATCATTAATTCACTAACATGTCTATATGCAATAATAGAATAATATTTTGTGTCATTGTGTGTGTACATACATTATAATACACATAAAATGTAATTGTAATTCGTATTCATGAATGTAACATGTAACATGTATTAGCTATACATAGATATATTACATATAATATACGTAGCTACTCCATTTTTTGCTACGTTTAATGAAAAGATGTAGAAGTTATTCATGTTAAAATATACAGATATTAGTGGTATATATTTAAATATAATACACATATAGATAATATTATACAATGTTGTAGTATGTAGGGTGCGTCACCAAAATCCGGACAAATTTCAATTCAAATTTTCCGCTATACTGTGCCTCCGCCAGAGATTGTTATTGGCGTCCAAGAAAGCCTGATGCT